TAAGCCTGCGTGTCCAGAGCCTGTGCTCCGCAACGGGAGAGGCCACAACAGTGAGAGGCCCGCATACCGGGAAAAAAAAAAAAAAAACCCCAAAAGAATCCGCCTTCCAATGCAGGGTACATGGGTTCGATCCCTGGGTAACTAATCCCACATGTCGCAGGGCAACTAAGTCCGCGTGCCTCAACTACTGAGCCCACGCGCTCTGGAGCCCACGTGCCACAACGAAGAGCCAGTGCAGCCAAAAAAAGAAAAAAAAAGTAATTAGGAATAAATTTATCGAGAGGCAATAAGAACTGTACACTGAGAATTACAAAATATTGGTTAAAAAAACTATGAAGGGCTTTTTTTTTGGTTAAGAGATAATAAATGTGTTATATGTATTAAGAGATTTCTGTTGAATACGTATATAGTAATTGTCAAGAAGACAGACAACAGATTTAAGAAGTTTCACCTCAACTACCTTTAAACACCTGAAGAGAAAAAAAAAATAGTACAAAATAATTGGGCCAGACCAGTGGGTCTCAAAACAGATGCATATAAAAAATATCCATTAAGCATTTAAAAAAAAAAAAACAGGGACTTCCCTGGTGGCACAGTGGTTGAGAATCCGCCTGCCAATGCAGGGGACATGGGTTCCCCTGGTCCAGGAGGATCCCACATGCCACGGAGCAACTAAGCCCATGTGCCACAACTTCTGAGCCTGCACTCTAGAGCCCACAAGCCACAACTACTGAGCCTGCATGCCACAACTACTGAAGCCCACGTGCCTAGAGCCCGTGCTCCACAACAAGATAGGCCACCTCAATAAGAAGCCCGTGCATCGCAACAAAGAGGAGCCCCCGCTTGCAGCAACTAGAGAAAGTCCACATACAGCAACGAAGACCGAACGCAGCCAAAAATAAATAAAATTAAATAAATTAAAAAACAAAACAAACCAAAAAAACCTGTGTGCCTAGGCCCCACCCTGGGACTTACTGAATGATTCCTCTAGGAATCCAGGAGATAACCAGAGGTGTAGGGGGAGTGTGTATAAGTGGCAAGGCTGGGACTGAAAACCATTGCCTTAAGCATTGTTAATATCCACAACATCATCAAATGTCCAAAGGGAGGACCTAACAAGTTCCAATAAGGCTGGAGGAGATTGCCCTCTTTAAATTCACCAGGAATGGAATTTAGGTGGATTTTGAAGGTGATCATCAAGTTTTACCACTACTTCTTTCACCTACTACTAGATAATACTAAAACACAAATAATCCCATTCACCTTCAGGGATGGCACCCAGCAGTTAATAATGACTCCCAACATATACTCACCCAACAATCATTACTTCATGCCTGTCATGTGCCTCATGCTACTTTAGCCTCTGATAGAAGAAAAACTGATATAGTCCTTTCCCTGTAGGAACATCAGTCTGGCAGGGGTGATAATATTATTAGGTCCCAATAGAGAGGAGGGAACAACCAGTTAGTTGTCCAGGGAAGGAAGAAATCACTTTTGAGCTAAATCTTGTTGAAAAGATCAACTGGGGGTGGGGAGGGGAGGGAATTCCAAGTAAAAGAATCAGTGTGTATAAGAAGAAATATTAAATATTCCATTTTATACTATCCACATAGTCTTTTTCTATACTCTAGAAACACTGTGTATCAAATATCATCAATTAATACTACTATCCTAGAGGGCAGGGCACAAATCTAACAACACAGGTAGATGCTGAAGACTTAAGACTAATAAATATTCAGAAATTATCACAAACATTTAAATAGTTCTATTTACTTCCAGAGAAATTCAGATACTCCCATTCTTACAAACTATATAGATGACTGACTCCATAATGGAAATATTAGTCTACAGAGTCAGCTGTAAAGAAATCTTTCACTTTCACTTGTAAAATGAAAGTGGAAAAAATACCCTAAAACAAATGAGAAAAACTTGTTCAAAATGGGTCCATTTTACTCTTAATAAGGATTCTTTAACTGTTCCTATCTAACTTATAACAGGAGTACAAGGCAGTTAGAGAGCATTTCCAGCTGAGATATTAATAAATAAAAGAGTTGAATGTGAAGAAATAAGGACATTATCAACAGGAGACTTCCTTGATTCCAAATTACTCATTCAGAAAACTGATCCTTCTTGTAGGCATTGTGGAGGATGACTTTACCTTCCAGACCAATTACATGGAGACACCACAGCAGTGATCCACCCAACTTTAGGGATAGTTTAGTGCATGATGGGATATGTAGTTTTTAGGGAAGCACATGCAGCAATTTAAAGTAGCATAGATCACTTTCAATCGGGGGAAAAAAAATCTGCTTTAAACTAATAGTCTAATAGCCCACAGTTCTCCAGCAATTCACTTCATGTGGACCCCTGTAGTCAGAGGCACCTCCCAGTTTTGATACAACTCCATACAGCCATTCTAATTACAGTAACACCCCCTCAAAGCTAACAGCATGGTTACATGATTGGGAAGAGTTGTTTCTAAGAGAACGTGATTTCTAGGGACGTGTAAAGACCACCTATGATGTGTAATCAGTACTGCCAGTTAGTCGCGGTAATGCCCTGGATGCAAAACCTGTCAGAAGCTGAAAACAAAATGTGCTGCTGCCTCTAAGCACACCCTTCTGGCTCAGGTGGTCTTCATTATAGGACTTCTAGTGTAACCCTCAAGTCAGCTGAGCCCCTGCAGAGTGAAGACCAGAGTTAGAAGCAAGTGAAAGTTATCCACTAACTTTCTTTTACTGAGACTTTTGAATACAAATAGTTTTTAATTAAGGGTCACTGTGGCAGGAGAAAACTTAAGTACTGTAGCGTGGTTATACTGAGCTGTCCCCAGCGTTAAGATAATCATTGTTTGCTATGGTAAAGATGTGGGAGTTAAAATAACAACGCTCAGGTTTACTGGGTCAGAAATCCTATTTGCTCTTTCCCCACTCCCACCCCACCCCCAGCTTTTTATTTCCAGTTAGTTCTATCCTAAGTAATTTACATCCTAGTTCAGTTAAAGCACTCTCAAGTGGAGTATTTCTCCAACACTGATTACTTTCTCACTGGGGTCTTCTTTGGCATTTTTCAGAAATCCTAATTAAAACTGACCATTTAGACAGATCCTGACGGAATCTGTTCACCTACTCTTTTTAACGGAATTCTGATGGTGCTGAGAAATGATCAGTTTAATGGAGAAAGTGTGCACCTGGCGATGGACAAATAAGTGCCTTCCTTAAGAGAGCACTTACGACCATTCTGCAGCCACTCTGACCTTGGCTAGAAACCAACGGCTGCGTGGGGCAAGAAGAAAGGAAGTATCCTGGGGGCCCAGGGCCGCTGCACTTGGTGAAACGTTGGCTTCCAACATAAGGCCTTGAGATGCCTCGTCTATAGAATGGAAAACAGTAAAACGGACTCACCCAGAAACTCTAAAGATACCAATCGAGGGAGGATGGGGTGCAGGGGGTGAAACCCTCTGCAGATAGGAAGTGCCGCAGGAGCACCGAGGTAAGGATGTGGCCCTGCGCGAGAGGGGCCTTCGCGTTCTCCTTCTCGGATCTCGCTCCCAGGCCATCAGTACCGACGTCTCCGCTCTCCGCGAGGCAGCTCGGCTCCCCGGTGGGTGGAAAACCTGCCGGCCTCAGCCGGGCTCGGGGGAACGATGGAGGGCGCCGGCGCTGCGTAGGCCCTACCGTCCCCGCGCCTTCGCCCCCTGCCCACCCGGCCCTCCCTCTCCCGCCCCGGCTAAATGGCCTCACCAGGGGGCGAAGAACTCGACAAGCATGAGGCCTGCAGAGCCCGTGTCGGAGATGCGACTCTCGAAGTTGTCGTCCGTGAGTTCCAGCACGTCAGAGGCAGCGGCGAGGCGGGCCGCGGCGAGGAGCAGCGCCAGGCCCGGGAACAGCGCTAGGCGGCGGAGGCGCATGGCGACTACGTGAAGCGGCGGCGGCCAGGAGGGTCAAGGTTCGGCGGGGACTGCGGAGGCCGGGCAAGGAACCACGAGCCCTCAGCCTGCGCTCGCGCTTCTGGCCCAGTCGGCCCCGCAGCCGGAGGTCCCAACCCCCCAGCCCGGCTCGGGCCGTAGTGTGGCAGCCGCCGGTTGGCTGGGGG